CTAATCAATAGCCAGCTATGTTTAAACAGTGTCATCTTAGAAAAGTACATGAATTAAGGAAAAGCTGATTATTTAAAACAGCATGTTTGATTGCTTTTGTTACATATTAATATGTGTAATAAATAATATTGAGATCAAGAAAAATTATTATCTTGATGTTTTATAAGATAAGAAATACATTAAGGCCTGGTGCAGTAGCTCATGCCTATAATCCCAGTTACTTGAAAGATGACAGTCAGGAGAATGGTTCCAGACCAGCATAGGCAAAAAGTTATCAAGACTCCCATATCAACCAATAAGGAATGGTGGTACAGATCCGTAATCCCAACTATGCCAGAAATCGTAAGGAGGAGGATTGAATTTTGAGGCTGGCCCTGGGCAAAAACATGAGCAAGACACTATGTAAAAATAGAGCAAGCTAGGCACTGGTTGTCCTTGCCTGTAATCCTAGTACTTAGGAAGCTGAGATGGAGGAGATTGCAGTTAAAGGCAGCTCAGATATACACATACGCTATCATCTAACAATAATGAATACCGAGATTAGGAAGACCACAGATCAGGGAGAGCCCATGAGACTCCATGTCAGTGGAAGAATCTAGACATGATGGAGCATACCTATCACTCCAGCTATGGCAGGAAATGAAAAATAGGAGTATTGTGGCCAGGCACAGATCTAGACAGGAAGTAAGGCCCTGTCTCAAAACTAAACAGTACAAAAAATAGCCGGAGGTATGGCTTAGCCATAGAGCACCAGCCTGTGAGATTCTGAGTTCAAACTACTAATAATAGTAATAATAACAAAAGCAAAAAAAGGCTGGGGCATAACTCAAGTAGTAGAGTGCTTATCTAGCAAGCAGGAGGTCACAAGTTCAAACTCCAGTACTGCCGAGGGAAAAAGGAAAGGAGGGAGGGAAGAAAAAAGAGAAGAAAATAAAGAGGAAAAAAGGAGAAAGGTAAAGAAGGAAAGAATGGAGGGAGGGGACCAACAGTCTCTTCAACAAATGGTCTCGAAAAAACTGGATATCCATATGTAGAAGACGAAGACAAGAGCCCTATATTTTTACCGTGTACAAAAATCAATTCAAAATGAATCAAAGATCTTGAAAATTTGAAACTTTGAAATTACTATGGAAAAATAGTTGAAGATATAGACATAGGAAACTACTCTCTGAATTGAGTTCACATAAAAGCAAGAATTAACAAATAGGATTGCATTAAATTTTTTTTAAAATTCTGACCATCAAAGGAAATTATTACTAGAATGAAGAGACAACCCACAAAATGGGAGAAAAATCTTTGAAAGCTAGTCATCAAACAAAAGATTAATACCCAGAATATATAAAGACCTCAAAAAAACTAAACACCAAAAGTACAAATAATCCAATTTAAAAATGGACAAACAAACTGAACAAACAATTCTCAAACACAAATGGCAAGTAAATACATGGGGAAATGTTCAACATCAAAACAATGCCCATTCAGAATGGCAATCATCAAGAAAACAAACAAGAGAAAATGCTGACAAGGATACAGGAGGCAAGGAGGAAGAACTCTCTCGAACTCTTGGTTGGAATATAAAGTAGCACAGCCACTGTGGAAATCAGTATGGAGTTTCCTCCAGAAACTAAAAGTAGAACTGCCATAAGATCTTGTTGCACCATCTTTGGCATGTATCCAAAGGAATTTAAGTTAACACAGAACAGAGGTACCTGTACACCCAAATTGACATCAGTAATATTAGAACAAGTAAGATAAGGGATCATCTTAGGTACCCAGCAACCAATGATCAGATAAAGAAAATGTAGTACATGTATACGAAGGAGTATTGTTCAGTAATTAAAGAATGAAATTGAATCATCTAAAGGAAGAACGTATGGAACTGGAGATCATCATGTTATGTGAGATAAGCCAAGCTCAGAAAGACAAATTTTGCATTGTTTTGCACATATATGGAATCTTAACCAATAATGATAATTGTAATAATAAAACATGATTGCAAAAGGTGGGCTCTGTGTGGAAGGAACCAGTGCGGGGGGTGGGGGGAGGGCAGGGGGTGTGAGGGAGGAGGGGAACACAATAGAAGTATATTGTGTATATGTATAAAAATAGCATAACGAAATGCACTAAAAACTGTTTTAAAAAAAGGAGGGAAGAAGGGAGAAGAGTTAAGGAAATGTAATATAGACAAGATGGATTCGATCAAGTATGTACATCATCTGTAAATATCACAATGAAACCTCTTTCTATAATTACTTTATACTAATACAAATTTTAAATAGAAATTAAGTTCTTAAAAAAAAAACTAAAGAGATCCGAACGTAACTTTAGCTTCAACATTCCACTCAACCAAAGTCAGATAGACTGCAGCATGAATGTGGAGGTGTGGCTCAGATAGTAGAATGCCAGCCTGGAGAAAAAGCCAAGGAAGAGTGGGAGGCCCTACACTCAAGCCCCAGTACTGGGGTTTGATAGAGTGATAATTATACCAGGTGAATAAAACATAGTATAGGGGAGTCATGTTTACTAATTTAAAGCACATAAAGTATATAAAACAATGTTTAGAATGTTCAATAAATGCTATTGTTCCTAACGTGTTTATAATGTACCATGTGACTTTTTTGTTTCTTTTGTATGTTCTTCCCCCATGGTATAATCCCTGTTTTCACTGTATTTGATTCCAGTGCCCTGCATCTTGTATATACACTTCTCTAGCTTGGAGAGGGGAAGGAAAAAAACAAAATACTTAAATAGGGATACAGTTGACTCATTGTAACAATGAGATGTACCAAGACACTATGTTGAAAAATGAACTTTACAATTTAGGCTAGGGGTAGGTAGTTGTAGAGGTTGGAGGGAAGGGAGGGGAGGGGAAAAACAAAGGAGGAGGTAACAATGCTTGATAGGAAATGTACTCATGACCTTGCTCATGTAACTGTAACCCTTCTGTACAGTATTTTTACAATAAAAATGTATTAAAAATATATTTAATAGAAAGTAATAGATGGAAACATTTCAGATATTCCTAGATGAATTTAGAGCCCTTAAATAAAATTAGTCTCAATAATGACATCTTAGCCAGATGAGAGTCTATGGGATAGACAAAGAGAGGTAAGTCCATGCTTGATTCTGTCAATGGATGGGAAAAAAAAAATCATCCCTGGATTATTTTAAGGAAAGACTTACATATATATATTCCATGGCTTATAAAAACAAAACAAAGGAAGGAATTACAAAAAGACCTTATATTTATGCTGTTGTTGTTGGTAGTTGTGGTGGTGGTGGTGTTTATGTGTGCTTTTTTTTTCTTTTCCTGCTTCTTAGAGGGAATAAAAAGGGGTGCAGAAAGAAATGGAAGAAGGGTGAAAAAATCCTAATATTCAGTATACACCATGTGGAAAATGAACTGTGCACCTAGTGAGCAGGGATGAGATGGGGGAACAGAGGGAAAGTAACAGAAGGGGCAACATTGTCCAAAAGAGAAATGTACTCATTACTTGAATTGTGAAATAGCAACCCCTCTGTACAATACCTTACTAATAATAAAATTATGTATTTTAAAGACTTTATATATTCAGATATTAATACTTCACAACTTCTTTGTGGTTATTATCATTGTTGCTGGCTGGGGTATAAATGGGATTTGAACTCAGAGCCTTCTGACTCCAGCTCTACCTATACTGCTCTGAATTCAAAACAAGTAATGACTACAAAAAAGAGTTGAGGTTATTCTATCACAGTTTATCCCAACATACAGCAGTATTTCCTGAAGAATTAACTAAAGGAAGATCTGCTGGAACAGAATGTATTAGCCTACAGTCCCTTTGTGTTTTTTTTTTAATTTTGTTTTGTTTTTTTTGTTGGTTGTGAGGCTTGAACTCTGTGATTGGGCACTGTCCCTTAGCTCTTCAGCTCAAGGCGAGCACTCTACCACTTGAGCCACAGGGCCACTTCTGGTTTTCTGGTAGTTAACTGGAGATAGGAGTCTCACGGACTTTCCTGCCTAGGCTGGCTTTCAACTGTGATCCTCAGATCTCAGCCTCCTGAGTAGTTAGGATTACAGGCGTGAGCCACTGGCGCCAAGCAGTCCATTTGTTTTGAAATGAATCTTTCATTTACTAGGCTTTCCTATTCTGTTTTTTTTGTTTTTGTTTTTGCTTTAATGCTGTCCACATAGTTTTCCACAAGAGTCCATGTTTCAATCTAACCAACCACATCATGGCTATTTATCTGTTTTTTTAAGAACATCCCAATGAACCATCAATGGAGATGGATTGCTACTGTCTCAAATCACTCCCTCACTGTCCAACTCTAGCATATAACAAATCAGAGACAACATCGGACACCTCAAACAACAGGTTTGCAACCATAGCTACTTATATATTCTGGTGGGGGGGCGGGGGTGGAAGAAAGCCTGTGCCATGTGTACATATCTAATATAAGCCCTCTAGCACTATTAGAACTTCATGGTCGCATCTAATGGAACATTCCATTCACAGCAGAATTATTCCATGATCATGCAAAGGTAATTTTGGCTGGATAATATAATAAGGAGGCAAAATATGTTCACTACCTAGTCTCTTGATTTTTGCTAGCAGGTTATTGTTTTCCATGGGTTCATATTAAGAGTTAGGTTTCAGTACATCTAGGCACACTTCTGTTTTATTTGGATAAGTCATTCACTTTTCTGGGTTGCTTTCTTTTTCTGGGGGGACTGGGGGGTCCAGTCGTGGGGCCTGAACTCTGGGCCTGGGTGCTGTCCCTCAGCTCTTCAGCTCAAGTCTAGCACTCTACCACTTGAGCTACAGCACCACTTCCGGCTTTTTTTCTTTTTGCTTATGTGGTGCTGGGGAATCAAACCCAGGGCCTCATGCATGCAAGGCAAGCGCTCTACCGCTGATCCACCGTCCCAGCCCTCTGGGTTGCTTTCTAACACTAACTTGATTTTATCCCCATAGGTTCATGAAGAGGAAACCTGTGAACCCAGTAAGAAGGATACCTACCTCAGGGCCTGTGATATGCATCAGACCAGAAATAGCAGAGGCAACAGCATCGTAACCAGCTCGCTGAGACATGGGTCCTGTCTGGCCATAGCCTGAAACAAGAATAGAAATTATCCACACTGGGCAGGGTACAGAAGTGTGGTACAACCATTTGTCTTCCCCTTGTACTGCAGCTTCTGTTCCTGTTAAGAGCTCCAGGGCCCCTTGAAGAAGGAAGTAAGAATTAACCAACAAGTCAAAACCTGACTTTCTGGCCATAGCCATAGGCAGGAAGGTTTAGTTTAGGAAGGCACAGAGTTTGAAAAATAATTTTATTAAGATGTCAACGATCAAAAATTAAGAAATAAAGCCAAGTACCAGTGGCTCACGCCTGTAATCCTAGCTACTCAGGAGGCTGAGATTTGAGGATTGTGGTTCAAAGCCAGCCTGGGCAAGAAAGTCCGTGAGACTCTTATCTCCAATAAACCACTAGAAAACCTGAAGTGGCGCCATGGCTCAAGTGGTAGAGCGCTAGACTTGAGCTGAAGAGCTGACAGACAGTGCCCAGGCCGAGTTCAAGCCCCATGACTGACAAGAAAAAAAAAGCAAGAAATAACATAAAATGCAAATTTCTGGCTTTCCTAGAAAAAAAAATCAGATGATGCATACATCCTTCTATGACAATAATCCACTTGGAGGAACAACTCTCAGTTCCATTATAGAATTCTCTACCACTCCTTATTCTTAACAATTCAGCCTCTTCACCCTTTTACTTACCTTCCAGACCCTCCCTCAATAGGCATATGATACTTTCCATCTGTACAAGACTATATATAAAATAAAGCCAGATAGTATCTTCTGAAATTCTGCTTACATATTTTCACAAGAGTGCAAAACTATAAATGACAAAAATTTGAACATAACTTTTTATTACTTCTCCTCACAGTACTGCTGTGTTGAGTTTTTTAACTATTTTTTGTCTTTTCTTTTTTGGTACTGGGTATGGAACCCAGGAGGTTGTACTTGCTAAGCCAGTGCTTTGCCACTGAGCTACATCTTAACTCCTGACAATATGTGTTTGTGTGTGTGTTCATGTGTGCACATGTAGGGGGGGGGAGTGCCAATCGTGGGACTTGAACTCAGGTCCTGGACACTGTTCCTGAGCTTTTTTGCTACTTGAGCCAAAACTCCACTTCTGGCTTTTTGGTGGTTAATTGGAGATAAGAGTCTCAGGGACTTTCCTGCCCAGGCAGGTTTCAAACCATGATCTTCACATCTCAGCGCCTCTTGAGTAGCTAGAATTACAGCCATGAGCCACTAGCACCTGGATAAAAGTGTTTTTAAGGTGTCTCTCTGTGTCTGTCTGTCTCTCTCATCTCCTCTCTCTCTCCTCTCTCTCTCTCTCTCTCTCTCTCTCTCTCTGTGCCTTTTGGCGATATAAGGAGACATCAGCATAAACCAAGATAAAATGAGAAACCTTTCCTCCTGCTCTTAGTCTTGCTGTATACTTGACTACTAAAGAGTATATCAGGAGCTATATGAATCTCTCCAAATCCCATTTACCAGACAGAGAGTAAACTAGTCAAGAGCCACCCAGCCCCATCTGCTTTTCGGGAATATACACACTGTATATACACACTGCTTTAATTAATTTTGTGTGTGTGTGTGCATGCATGTTGGCGTACATCTGTGTATGTGTGCTGGTCATGGGACTTGAACTCAGGGTCTGGGTGCTGTCCCTGAGTTTTTGTACTCAAGGCTAACACTCTACCATTTGAGCCACAACTCCACTTCTGGCTTTTTAATTAGAGATGAGTCTCACAGACTTTTCTGCCCAGGCTGACTTTGAAATGTGATCCTCATATCTCAGCCTCCTGAATAGCTAAGATTACTGGTGTGAGCCACCTGTGCCCAGTTTACATGCTGCTTTAGAAATAACAAGAAAGGGTGAGCCAAAGGCTTTGCTTCATGGGCCACTTGGACTGTTCCCTCAACACATGTGAAGGTATAACAATGAAATGTCCTGCTGTATACTTGATGGATGCCAATAAAAAAAAGTTTAATAGAATAGGAAGGGACCATAAGGGAAATAATTATTTTCTCTGTTCAGAAGTAGAGAAATGTATGCTGAGCCTTAGAGAATGAATCTGAGGGAAGCTAGTTTGCATTTGCAAGTGGTGCCCTTGTCCAGACTTCCAGTCTTCAACACAATGGTTCCCAGCATAGAGCAGGCCTCCAGGAACACAAGAAAACTGCACCATAAGGCAGGAAGCTGTGTGTTCCCTGAACCACCTGTTATCTCAACAGGAAGTCCAGAGAAGTATTAAGTTTCTCCAGGTTAGAGAAATCACTAGGTGCATCTGACCAGAAGCCCAAAACCCTCAAATGGTACCAACTAAGAGCCCTCCTCTCCCCCACCCTTTTACCCAATCAGCACAACTCCAAATGGAGTCTTCTAAATAAAAGCCTGCAGGAAAATATGCTCACAAAAACAAACAGCTTACTAAATGCCTTGTGATACAAATTCTGTTTTTGTTTAGCTTACAACAACTGGGAAGCATAAATATCCTAATTACTTTCAATTGCCACCTCCAAGTAGTTCCTATTAAAGAGATGTATAAATAGTTGCTTATTTCACTAGTGAAGTGGAAAAAAGGAATGAGTTGTACATTTGAATTGTACATTCAAATTATGGCTTTCCAACTACTAAATCTTCAAATATTTATTTCATATCCTTGAGCCTCAATGTATTTATCTGTCAAACAGCAATAATCACATCACAATCTTGGTTTTATTGTAAGAATTCAGTTTGATTTTGTATATATACATATGTGCACACAACACACACACACACATACACACAGAGAGGCACTGGAAGCTCATGCCTGTAATACTAGATATTAAGAAGGCTGAGATCTGAGGATCACGGTTGGAAGCCAGCCCAGGCAGGAAAGTCCATGAGACTCTGATCTCCAATTAACCACCTGAAAACTGGAGCTGTGGCTCAAAGTGGTAGAGCACTACCCTTGAGCAAAAGAAATCAGGGACAGTTTCCAGGCCCTGAATTTAAGCCCTATGACAAAATGTGTGTGTGTGTGTGTGTGTGTGTGCACGCGCATGTGTGTGTGCATATATATAAAATACATTTCAAAACCACTGAGCATTGAGTATGCATTAATCAATGAATATGTATCTATCTATAAAATACTATATCATTTTATATTGTTCATAAAATATAATAACAACAAAAGTCCCTCCAGATATGTTGAAATGATGAGAATAGATAGTCTAAGCACTATTATTATGTTAATAAGTTATACAATATGAAAATTTTAGGGTCAGGTGTACTGGTGCATTCCTATAATTCCAGCTCCTGGAGAGGCAGAGGTAACATGGTAACAATGTAAGTCTGGCCTGGGAAAAAGCTCAAGATCTTATCTGAAGAATAAACTAAAAGCACAAAGCATTGGGGACATAATTCAAGTTGTGAGCCTGAAAATCTCAGTAACACAAAATAAAACAATTTAGTTGGGTGTTATGGAGCACACCTGTAGTCCCAGCATTCAATAAGCTAAGGTAGGAAGACTTAGAGTTTAAGGCTAACCTAAGCTATGTAGCATGATTCTGACTCGAAAACAAAGCAATTGAAATGTTTTGTTTGGGGAAGTTATATTTGCCCAATAAAGAGAGAAATGACAATAATAATAAATATCTCCATAATATGAATCAAAAATTATTCTCCTTTTTCAACTTATACGTACTTTAATTACTTGAATATTGACTACTAATACTATGAACAAATATTTTGAAGAAAAAACAAAGTTTTAAAGCAAGTAACTAACAGAAGGTGGTTTTCTAAAATTACTCTGTTGGCTACATGTGAAATGGAATTACGAAAAGTTCAAAAGAAAGCTGAAATGTAGCTAAGTACAGAATCCAAATAATTAACGTTAGCCTCACAATTCCTAAACCAATTATGTTCAAAATCTGCATTAAAGATACTTTTAGTTCTTTTAAAAATTTTATTGTAAAGATTCTGTACAGAGGGGTTACAGTCACATGAGTAAGGTAATGAGTACATTACTTGCTGATCATTACCCCTTCCCTTGTTGTTGCCCCTTCCCTTGTTTTTCTCCCACTATCCCTTTTCTCCTCCACCTCCCTCACTCCTCCCCACCCCACCCCACCCCCAACCCCAGCCCCTGCCTGAAGTTGTAAAGTTTATTTCCAATATACTATCCTCTATGTATCCTTGTTGCAATGGGTTATCCTGTGTCCTTATTTCAGTGTTTTGTTGTTCCCCTCCCCCTCCCCAGATTAGACAAATGTATAAACAAGATGCAGGGAACCAAAATCAAGTACAGTGACATAAAGAGGAAACAAAAAAAATAGTACATTTAAAACAACAACAACAAGAGGTGAGGAATATTAAGGAAGTTATAGAAAAGCAGAGGAGTACTCCAGTGTATGTGTCTGTCTGTCTCTCTCTCTCTCTCTCTCTCTCTCTCTCTCTGTTGTTTCTGTCTCTGTCTTCCCTCCCCCTCTCCTTTCCTCTTACCTTCTTCTCCCCATACCCCAACTCTCCTTTCTCCACTTAGTATCATTCTAAGGAGCAACCTCGCCATCTTGTGGCCTTTGTGAACACTGACTGTAAAGCAAAAGTAAAACAACAGATAAGGGTCTCATATCTAAAATATACTTAGAACTCAAAAAATTAAATCCCCAACAACAAATCCTCAAAGAAACAACTGCCCAATAAATAAGTGGGCTAAAGACTTACAGAGAAGCTTCTCTGAAGAAGAAATAAGAATGGCCAATAGACACAAGAAATGCTCAACCTCTCTAGCCATAAAAGAAATACAAATCAAAACAACATTGAGATACCACCTCACCCCAGTCAGAATGGCTAGAATCAAGAAATCTAATAACAACAGATGCTGGAGGGGA